GCTGGGTTCCAATAGTACTATTTCGATATATACTTGATGCTGGAGTTTTAGCATTATTGAAAGTAAATAAAGCAATTATATCGTGTCGTCCACAGACGCAAGTTTGGTTACCCGAACCGGATAGATTTATAATTGATGATGCCAGGAAAGAATTTGCTGATCTTATTGAAGATGACATTGTTAAAATTACAAATAATATATGTAATTGCAGGGACAAGGACGATCAAAAATTTGGAAAAGATCTTGGTAGAAAGATAATCGGTAAATTTACGCAAGGAGGATCATATGATCATAAACGACACTGTAAAAGATTGATTATGGACGATGCTGAAGTTGATTTTATAATTGCTGATAGAACAAAAAAAAAACCCATTTATAAACCGATGTAATGCTTCTTTATCAGACGGAACCAAAACGGGTATAATTGTAAACTATACTGATGGCGAATAACCGCCGTGTACTCATTTAAGATCTTCGATGCTAGCCTATGTTTCTATAAATCTATTGTCGATGATAAATAGATTTCTTCGTTATGCTCTCAGATTTCTACGGATTCGCTTTATATACATAAATAAATATACGGATTTCTTAAAACCGTTACTCGCTAATAGTGAATGAGGATCATAGAGAATAAAAAAGAAAACATACTTAGCTATTCCGAATCTGTCGGCGTCGAAATTAAGGAAATATATTACAAAAATAATATTCAAATATCAAAGTCATCTGCACCATCTGTATATGATCCTGTGGCTAGACATAAGATTCTTAATGGATATGGTGGTTCATGTAAAAACAACTCATGCGATTATATTATTTCTGAACAACTATTCAGATATAATTGTTTGACACATAAACTTGCCAGATAAATTAACGAACGAGGAATAAAATTATGTACATACCATAATTTCATCAGATGGTGTGCAGGCACGTGGACTCCTGAGCGAATGGGTGAGAAATACATTAAGTATATTATATGGGACGAGGTGGACATGGTGTCGTTAGAAATATTAAAAATATTTCTTGAATGGTTATTGACAAAACATACTGCTGTGTTGCGATCATGGTCAACCATCACTCTTTATTGGACAATTACCACATGAATGGCTGGATAATTATCTTGATTATTATGAAGAAATAAATGAAGACCATAAAATTATTGATGAATCTCTGAAAGAGCTTAAAAGGGTAATCAGACTGCCGTCTGATAAAATACAATGTGAGATTATGCGTAAAGTAATTCTAGAATCTACCGTAAATGATTTTTTGAATTTATGGAGACATGCTGATTTTGATAGTCGCAAGAAGAAAGATAGTTAGTGATGAAATTAAAAGAAATTATTTACGCTACATATAGAATAGGTTTTCAAACCTGCCTGTACTATTATGTTATCGCCTAGTAGATACTCAACGACAAAATATTGAAGCTGAAAATCCTGGTGATTGAATACAAAACCTTGTACAGAATGATATCACTTTTGTTGCTGTCGAAAATTTGGGAGTGCATTAAGCATGGATAAATCGCTGTGGACGTTAGGATACGCTATAAGGATTCACTCGTCACAGGAATCAACTATTTCTGATACAAATATCTGGATTGTAGATGATGGGATAGAATGGTCAAATTTAGTTTACCTGCAGTATCTCGAGTCAGAAGAATAGCTCAACTGTATAGGGTTATTATAGATTATGTATTAACCAAAGATATCACTAACGACCTTGCTGTCATATAGAAAAAAGATTAAAAATAATGTGACAAACAAAAGTGTGAGTCTGATTTTGATTCTGAATTTATTAAAATACTAAAACAACTACATAATAATCATTTTGAAAGCTGCAACACAATAATGTTATGGCAATATTCGAATAATAATCTAAGACAGTTCACCGTAGACAGAATTAATAGTGATATTGGTCATACACGGGAAAATGTGATGCTATCTTATCTTTATTCTAATCGAGGTAGAGGTGCTAATTTACATAGGTGAAGGTGGAGGTAATTGTGTGTCTTTAGGAATTGTCATTGTTCACGTACAAATCTACGTTGAGGAGTCGTCGAATTGCAGGTCTACCTATGGATCTAGCCACGCTAGAAAAATTATATTTGTAGTCACGCTCCAGAGAGGATTAGTTGCTCCATTTTACCACCTTTAAGTTCACTAGGTTCATATAAATATCCTACAGTTGTATTACCTAATACTGGTTGAGAAGAAGATTCACGACTTTTTATTTGTATATATTTTAGTAATTGCATTAGAAGGTTTCATGAACATTAAACGAGTAATTTATTATCTAACACAGATATTACACTTGGTAACCATGCAACCCATTCACGAGATCTCTCTCTCGACTTAAAGTTAGTAGGTATTTCCTTTGTGTATTGATATCCAAATAACCTCTCATCAAGTGTTCCTTTAAATCGTGCAACAATTGCCTAATCACGATGAATTCCAGCATGTCCTCATCTGATTTTTACGCTATGTTGTTTTATCAACTATAATACTGAACCAAGAAATTCTTTACCAGGATCAACCTGTGATAGTTATGGCCATCGTAGACCTTGTGGTCCAGATCCTCATTGATAAATTCGTTTAAACGCAGACTCAACTTCAGTTGCTGTCTTTGTTGATAATGGTTTTTCTTTTGTATATCTACTTGCAAGGCCAACAATATTCAAAGCGTATTTATATATGCGTAATTGACGTCCACGTGTTTTAATAGTTTCATGATATAAGAATAAAACATCTGCTTGATGAACTTCATTAGGGATGCTGACATCAAAATATGCGTATTCAATTTTCTTAAGTGGTGGTAGATAAATTTGCCATATTGCCTGTCGTGCTAACCATTTTGCAGTAACATAATGTGAGTCTTTTGCTGTTTCAGCAAATTTACTCATCGCTGGTTTGCCTCTCCATTATGCTATCGAGGAATAATATACAGATTCCATTGTAATAATTATGCAATTAATCACCAGGCACTAACATTATTTTACTTTTCATAGCAGATTTTAATAGAAAACTAGTGAGTTTTTCTCTTAGATATTTATTGGGTATAGAATTTAACGAATGAATCAATTTCATATCTGAAAGATGCGGTTGTTGCAAATCTTTACTTTTATACGCAACATCATGAACATGACAAGCATGATCATTCTTGTTTATTTAATACTCTCCAGGTCGCGGTTGATCTTGATGATCAAGTCGGATATCAAATCGAGTTCCGGGACCACAATAATTATATCCATGAATATGTTTCTCATCGGGGTATTTAGCCCATGGAACTCCTGATAATTTCCCTAATGAAGCAGCAATATATCCACCAGTATTTGTCAATGAAATAAATTTATATTTTCTTGTGCCACATTTTACACATTTGCCTGTAATTTCACATTTTTTATTATTGTTAATCCAGTCTTGGACGTGGGCACTCTACATCAAACGCAATATAAATTCATATTATTTATTATATGGATATAATTGACATGAAAGAAAGAACCAGTAAAGCAACAATTCAGCACTACCCAATTTTATCAGATAGATAATAGGTCCATCTGGATCTGATAAGACACAGTTTTTGCTTAATCTGAGAATGAGATGGCTTAAGTGGAATAAATTATATTTAGTGGCACCATCTGTAGATGACCAGCGGTGTTATGAAGTACTTAAAGATTATAACGAAAAAGCAAAATTGTTGAATGAAGACGGCGATGTTGTTTATTTTATTACCCAGATTGATGAAGACACATTCATAGACGATCTTGATGGATTTATTAATAATCTAAAGCTATATGACGATATAATGTTAGATAAACAATCAAATCCAGCTCGGATACTTTCCAGAGGTAGACACAAAACTACTGATGTGATTTATGTTACTCAGCGATATACATAAATACCTAAAGTGATCAGAGACAACTGCAATATTTTAGTAGTTTTTAATGGAGTCGATACACATACTCAGCGAAACATTAATCAGACTTGATGTTCATAGGATATGAACATAATCAATTTCAAAAACTTCTTTCCAAAAGCACAAGCTACCCCAAGCGGATTTATAATGATACATTTACATGACGCCAGCAGCAGAGGAGGTGAACGATAAAAACTGTGTGACCCGGCGAGTAAACGAGTCGAATAAAAATTTGAAGAAAAAAAAAATATGTCAGCGATGGAGTAAAGAAAATGAGCTAACCCAGACGATTTGACGTTATTGTGTGTTCTCCACTGTATATAAATATTCTCGGTTAGAGGCTTCAGTTTAACGTTATTGACCTTGTTTTTCAACATTTACTTTTTAGACAAACTACATCGAAACCAATTTGTAGGGTTCACGTTCTCTGCTGCTGGACCATTTCCGTTGTCAAACTCTTCAGTTTCGGAGGTAAGAAGCATACTTTCGGATTACAATGTTTACATGGAAGTGATAAAAAAAAAAACCCCGCAACCGTTAAAGTTTCGACAACCCATCTTTGGCTTTATCAAGTAACTAAGACGACCTGAATTACCCCCCCCTTCTCCCCTGATGACATCAGATCAGTACATCCTGCTTGTAATAATGGCTAGACCGTACCCGTTTTCATAAGCAATATAGATTCACACAATTGATAATATTTTTATATACTAGAATGTGTGCAAACGATATTAGTTACGATGGATATTCAGTAAAACAAACATTTCTCTTTAAGGAACTCATGTTTTTTTTTTAAATCGGCTTGTCCTTTAAAAAAAAAACATTCGAAAAATATCGCGAGGAATGAATGCGTGTGTGTGTTGTGGATTTTTAACGTATCATTAACAATATTTCTGTCATATCGTTACGATCTCTGCAGTGTGGAAATTTATAGCGCTGTCTAGCACTAGGACATCATGCCGCAGACATGTAGCATCATGTCCCGCCCAGTCACATTATCCTCGTACAAGGCCGACCAGTCCTAACCCTAACCTCTTAATGCTGAGCATCTAGCGAGGCAGCTCTTAGTACATTTTTGTTAGTCTTTAATATGATTCAGCCGGGGTTCGAATCCGCGACCTTCCACATCTGAGGCGGAAGCTCTAACTACTAGGCTACCTGGGAGGTCTTCACGAGGAATAATCTATTGTTTTTAATCAATATTTTGTAAAACATGGTTTGGACTAAACAACGAAAACCATTTGAATTCACCTATTTAATAAAAATATCAAATTACTAATATGCTACGTTTCTGTGTGAATTAATTTTGCCTCATAATTTATTATTGATATACGATATAGACGATCGTGAATCCCTGTAGCATATCGATGAAAATATTTCATTTCCTCTATGTGTGCACACACACTGGTACAAAAACACACACACACAGGTACACACACACACACACACACATGAAGACCAGAAGGAGTACCGTGCCTCTGAGAGCACTAACAGGGCAATAATAACAACTGCCGGTTATAAGAGACAGTTTCATTGTCATCTACAAGAAAATTGGAAATCTTCTGTGGTTGAAACGTTCCAAACAAAAGAGGTGTGAAATTCTCCTAATCAGGTATACCTACGGTATAAAAAAAACCACAACTGATGTCAAGCATAAAATAACTCTATATGTAGAGTGTATAATTAACCTTAGACCAGACTTTCGCTTAATCTGGACTTTTGCTTCAATTTTCTAGATTGCAATAAAAATGTACTTGATGAAATAATATCCATTGGCAAAGAACATATAAATCTGAGACATGGCATGTTAAGCAAGGCTTTTATTACGCATACACATTGTTAGACTATGTACTCGTTTTAATGAAGTAAGGTAAATAAAAAAATAAGGATTTACACTGCAGCTAAACGAAAATGAAAAATTATTCGTCATATTCGCCTCATGTGTTATTGGTACAATCGTGATAAAAAGTTTGTGTAAAACATCCAAAAATTTAAAATGATGTGTAGAAAAATCGAAAACTTGCTGTATAATGTCTTTAAAATCGAATCTGAGCATCGAAAAATATTGGTAGATTGGATTTGTCTACGTTTAGAAATTAAAAAAGTTATAATCTTGCTTTAAAGCGGACTGAAGTGTGTACTTACGGACAAGACCAAAACAAGATGCACTAACTGCAAGTAGTGGCGGCATAAAATATACTGTAACTAAAAAAAAAAGAAGATAAATGTAACCTATTTTGTTACTTATTCCAGATCCCAACTGCTAACAGTTTTATGCATGTGCAAGCAGCAGCGTCAAAACAAGCTGAACTAAAAGCAACCAGGTCACTACAGCATAAATAATATGGAACTGTGACCTAATTTTCTTGATGGTCCTAAAACTGAGCTGAACAGCACATTTGTATGAAAGACCTGGATTCAGTTCAACAACACCAGTGAGTATTATGGACACGAAACAGATAAAATAAAACTGCAGAACACAAAATCTTGACAATATCATGAATAGACAAAAACTGGTAAGTGATGTATATTCAGCATGATTGTGGCGAACCTAACGTTTTTATACAGAAAGTAACATGCAGACAAATGAAGTTTAGAATATAGTAAAAGGATATATAAGGTGCTTAAATATTCTTGAAGTGTGCTAGTTAAGGTCATGGAGTTTATTATAATCCATAAGCCGGCAGTTAACCACGAATCATCCCTGGCGTTCTTGATCGTCTTGGGAACTTTCTGACAACATCCGCTTGACCAATCGAGTTGTCCTCATCTTTCTCACTGGTGGAATAGCGCGAGCTTCGAATCTAAATCCAGCACCACTGTTGCGAGCATTGGACACAAGCCTGACAATCAGAACATTGTCATCTGACACCAATGTCTTGTTTAAAAGGTCTTTTCCACAGTATCTATAAACAATTTTTTTAAAATTCACATCACAAAGAAATCTAACAATATTTTAGTAGTTATCAAATGATTACATAAATGAAGAGCAAAGGGTATCGGCTTCTATGAACACGTACTATAAAAGACCAATGACTGATAAAATAGGTTACAAACTTGTTCGCAACAACAGTTTTGACTATAGTTTCACATCATATTTATGTATATCATTTTCAAGACAAGAAATGAAAATATTTCCTTAATATCCGTATTAGGAAGTCAATATGCTCTCAAATGATCTGGTATCTCCACTCCAGTTACTTTCCCAGCTCAAGAACATCTCAATATCCACCTTCAAGTATGAATTACAGCAAATTAAACAATTCTCTACAGCAATAACCCAGAATTCAAGTACGAATTACAGCAAATAAAACAATCCTCTACAGCAATAACACAGAACTCCAAGCATGAATTACAGCAAATAAAACAGTCCTCTACAGCAAAAACACAGAACTCCAAGTATGAATTACAGCAAATAAAACAGTCCTCTACAGCAAAAACACAGAACTCCAAGTATGAATTACAGCAAATAAAACAGTCCTCTACAGCAAAAACACAGAACTCCAACTATGAATTACAGCAAATAAAACAATGCTCTACAGAAATAACAGAATTCAAGTATGAATTACAGCAAATAAAACAATCCTCTACAGCAATAACACAGAACTCCAAGTATGAATTACAGCAAATAAACAATCCTCTACAGCAATACCACAGAACTCCAAGTACGAATTTCAGCAAATAAAACAATCCTCTACAGCAATACTACAGAATTCAAGTATGAATTACAGCAAATAAAACAATCCTCTACAGCAAAAACACAGAACTCCAAGTATGAATTACAGCAAATAAAACAATCCTCTACAGCAATAACACAGAACTACAGCAAATAAAACAATCCTCTATAGCATTAACACAGAACTCCAAGAGTATTTTTGAAATATACTTATTAAATATGGATATCGATTCTAATTCGAAATACAATATATAAAGAAACTTTTTTTACAGCATAAAATTATATAACGGTTTCAGATATTGACATTTTTCCTGCCGCCAATCCGTTGTATTAGCTTGATATCCTGCCAACAATCGGTTAAATTAGCTTATCTTGCCACCAATCCGTTACATTAGCTTATCTAGCAACCAATCCGTTGCATTAGCTTATCTTGCAACCAATCCGTTGCATTAGCTTATCCTGCCACTAGTCCGTTGTATTAGCTTGATATAGTTAATTTTAACTGCTATTTCCTGGTTCAGTAAGTTACTCAATTGACTCACGCGGCATGATCATCATTGGCATATGGAGCTGGGACTGATATATAGTATTTAGTAAAATTCCATTAAAAAATATAGGATCCATTTAGTTTTTATCGAAGTTACCTTGTTCCAGGTTTGTACATATCAGTCAGTTTTACTTCCACATAATCACTTTTACAGGCTGAATGAGTCTCAATGTCAAATTCTTGAAAGCGTATCTCGATCTTGTTTTTTCTTCTTGCCTAAATAAAAAGAGTATTTTATGTAGCCGTTAAGAAAGATTGTCAACCTTTCAATCGGTGTTATTGCGACCCATCTAAAAAAAGCATACTTTGCTTCGTAAACAAGATACGGCAAGTCATTCACTCAATATTGCTATGCAATCATCTAGTACAGACCAATGTGAGATTTCCACATTCAATCATGACATTTGCGATGCCATTAGAGTTTGTTTAGTGTTGTATTTTACGGCACAGCAACACAAGTAGGTTACTTACTGCCGAGACAACAGATGTAAAGTTTTTCCCTTTTCAGCTCTTTCCCTAGTCTTAACCTAGTAGATATAATGTAGAATTCATAGTAGAAATGCAGCTGAATATATACATTTTATACACTGAAAAATTTTGTGCAATACTTATTTGAACATTCATGATTAATACAATCGTAACATCCAACAGAAATGAACGATGCAAGCGCTTGTACATCTTATCTGATCAGTTTGAAATGATATTAAAATTTGTCTTAATTTACTTTGAACTTCACATTTTCTTGGCAGGAAATGCCTTCTTACACATTAACGGATACGCAAAGCAAAATAAAAATAGTTCTCGTATATACTTACAAGATAGTTCAACATCTATCCCATTTATGCGCACATATACGGTTTATTAATGAGGATTACCTAATGTCAAGTACTTCTCATTTTATTCAGATGGGTAGTAATGATGAAAAACTGATAATACCCGAAGATATAAACTTCGGCGGATTCATATTTACATAAGCAACAAAATGAAGAGAAATGAAATAAGCAAATAAGCCATTTTATATTATTATGCATTTTAGGAATGTTAGGAAATAGTCTTTGTTATTTACATTAACGGCCACAATAGTCTTTGTTATTTACATTAACGGCCACAATAGTCTTTGTTATTTACATTAACGGCCACAATAGTCTTTGTTATTTACATTAACGGCCACAATAGTCTTCGTTATTTACATTAACGGCCACAACTAAATTTATTATAAGAAAAGATTTTTTTAGCGCCACCGAGTTACAGGTATGAGTGTAATACGAGTATACAGACCATTATGGTAGCCACCTCGTGACATTTTCTACATGCAGTGTATGAAAGAACCTGTCTATATGCAAACTATAACGCTCGTCGAATTTTGCTTAGTCTTTATGCAACACAATAATTAGTATAAAATGCATTGGCTTCATTCAATCGTAGTGTCGTGGTCTAATGCAACATCAAAAATTAGCAAATTTAGCTCTTGTAAATATCTTTATCGCAAAATCAAATTGTACCTGCACATTTAAACATTTTTATAATTTTTCCACATATTGAGCAATATTTGGCAATATCACGTCAACAAGTTATGACATTTAGCGCTTAAGCTTTGTATCACTTGGAATATTAATGTGGAACTGTTTGTCCTGTCTTTCATTGTGCCATGAAAATGACGAAGTTCTATAGTTCTACAGGCCAGTTAATTTCGTCTCCTTTGAAATCCAGTTACAGTTGGGAGCGCCCAGTGAGGAGACGGAAGAAGAGACTAGAATTTTTGCTGTCACTTTATCGGCATTGAGACTGAAAATCCAGTAATTCAGACCATATACTATTACTGCGTGTTGGCGTCGCCTGTAAACAACTGGAATCTCCAGTTCATTTGAAATCATTCTGGCTAATACGGACAGACATTCATTCCCTTTGACACAAATGACTCACCGTAATTGTATGT